AGCTCCTCTGATAAACAACAGCACTTGTTTCCAGGTCAGGGTGTGTGGTGGGTCAAAACTGGAACTCTACCTGCTAAGGACCACACTTTGGATGAGAAAATCCATGCATTTAAACTAATGTCTTGAGTAGCATTCCATTGCCACTGGTGAGTAAGGTAAAGTCTCGCCAGGGGCCGCCATGCACACGGCCCTATTCACGCAGGTGCTCAGGCCCCTTTCAACCCTGCATGCTCTCAGCTCCTGCACCCTCTTCCAGCCTCATTGATTGACCAAGGGTTTCCTGTAAAGTGTCCCGGGATTTTCTGGTCCCCTACCACACTTTGGCTTCTGCTGGCTCCTCCGCTTAGAACAGCCGCTCTTCAGTCTCTATGCATCTGGATGCTTCTCCTCCCTCCAAAGGGAGCTCAAATGCCATCTCTATCAATCAATCCACCCATCAGTCAGAAGCTGAAGCAAGCACACTGATTAAGTGTGTTGAACTGCCAGGCACTGGGCTTAAGTAAACAGGAAGGACTAAGACAAGGCCCCGGGTACAGAGGCTCTCTGGTCTGTGCTCCTTCAGGTGCTAAACCTGTATTAACATTGCTTTTCCTGCTTTGTTACCCATGCACTCATAGATAAAATTCTTACTACTGACGGCCAGACAGGTGCCAGGTCATCTTTGTCCTCCACATGCTATCCCCAGGGCCCAGTACCGTGGCATCTAATACACGCTCCATAAATACCCACAGGAAGAACCAACCCAAGCTCAGGACCACAGAGCCCAGGAGGGAGCCTGTGCCCTTCCCAGTGTCCACACAAGAAGCACTCGGCACACGTGCGATGTGGTTGAGATGTATTAAAGGTCAGCTCTCAGTGGCTTCTCTGCTGCAAACCGTTATAAAAAAGTAGGGTGCTTGGTTCATGGCTGACACGAGGACCCAAAATGGAAATCAGAAAGTTACACATCCTACGTGATAATGAAAGACAGCAGTGTTTCACAAAGCACGAGAAATCCCTCCTGGGACAAATGGCCTTCCATTCCCTATCAACCCAAGCCAATATTCTGCTCTGAGTCATGTACTGAAAGAAAACATTTCAGTATCAACAAAATGTCGTTCTCTGAACCTAGAAGGGCGATCCCCAGAGAAGCACGGAAGACAGACTGCACTTGGCCAAGTCTCATCCTCCTCCTCCTCACTTGGTGACCCCACTTCTTTTAACCACAGAGTCAAGTTCAAAAGGTACAGGAAGGCACAATACAGGAAGCCAGGTTGCAGTAACTTCATCTTTTCTTCTTTGAGATAAAAGAAGTTTGAAGAGCTATTGCCTTGACCATTACTTGGCAATAAAAAACAAAATTATCGATACATAAAAGAACTTGGATGAATTTCCATAGAATTACATCCTGTGGCACCCCATCAATATGTACAATTTCAATGGTTTTAGGTACTGGTTAAAAATTAATTTGAAAAGTTAGTCTCCCAAAGTGTATATCTGGATGATTCTGTCTACACAAAATCCTTGAAATAACAAAATTATAGAAAACGAGAACAGATTAGTGATTGTCAGGCATTAGAGCTAGGGTGTGGGAGGGAAGAAGTAGGTGGGGCTATAAGAGAATGACATGGGAGAGGCGCGGTGGTGGCCCTGCTGTGTCTTGACTGTTGACAGTGTCAGTATCTTGGCTGTGATCTTGTGCTCTCGTTTGCAAGATGTCACTTTGGGAGAAAACCAGGTAAAAATGTTATGCATTATTTTCTTAAAACTCCATATGAATCAACAATTATCTCAAAATTAAAAGTTTAATTTTACCTAAAACAATCTTTAAAAAGAACAAAGTTGCACATGTCTGTAAACCCAGCACTCTGGAGGCTGAGGCAGGAGGATTGTTGGGAGTTTGAGGCCAGCCTGGGCTACATAGTGACACAGTGAGTTCAAGGCCAGCCTGAACCACATAATAAAACCCTGTCTAAAAAACAAAACAGGGCTGGGGAATTAGCTCAGTGCCACTGTGCCTACCTAACAAGCACAAGGTCCTGAGTTCAATCCCTGGTACCACAGAAAAAAATAAATACATAAATAAATTCAAAAAAATAAAAATAAAAATAAAAATAAAAAACAGGGCCGGGGATTTAGCTCAGTGGTGCTGCCGCCTGCCTCGAGAGTGCAAGGTCCCAAGTTCAATCCCCAGTACCAAAACAACAACAACAACAACAAAAGCAAAGTTGATTTCAAAACTTATTAAAAAACAAGAATTAAACAATATGGTAATAATCAAAGGCAGATATAGAGAACAATGGAACAGAAATGAGCACCCAGCAATAAACCTTCACATATATGGCCAAATCATTTCAACAAGAGTGCCAATACCATTCATGGCAAAAAGGGCATTCTTGGCCGGGGATTTAGCTCAGTGGTTTCGCTGCCTGCTGCGCAAATGCAAGGACCTGAATTTGATCTCTGGTTCAAAAAAAAAAAAGGCATTCTTTTCAATATTTGGTGCTGGGTAAACTAAAAACCCAAATGCAAAAGAATGAATGGGCCTTTACCTTGCACTATATATAAACATTAAATCAAAAATGGATCAAAGTCCTAAACAAAAAAGACTTAACACTATAAAAGTCTTAGAAGAAAATATGAAGTTTGAAAAACTTCACATTGAATTTCACAATAATATTTCTTGGCTCTGACCCTAAAACCACAGAAACAGAAGAAAAAATAGATAATTTGGACTTCATCAAAATTAAAAACTTCTGAGCATCAAGAGACACAATTGATAGAGTGCTTGCCTAGCATGCAGCAGACCTTGTATTCCTTTCCCGGCACCACCAAACAATCAAACAAATAAACAATCAACAGAATGAAAAGGCAACCTATGGAATGGGAGAAAATATTTACAAATGACATATCTTGTGAGATACATACATGGCCAGCAAGGATATGAAAAGATACCCCCACATCACATATCATTAGGAAATACAAATCATAATCACAATGAGATATCACCTCACACCCATTAGAGTGGTTACCATCAAAAACAAGACAAAACAAAAACCAAAAAAACCCCACAAACCAAGTGTTGGTGAGACTGTAAGAAACTGGAATACTTATGCACTATTAGTAGAAGTGTAAAATGGTACAGCTGCTATGGAAAACAGTGAGTCACGTCCTCAAAAAAAATTAAAAATAAGACCATCCCAGCATTTGGGAGGCTGAGGCAGGAGGATCACCATGATTTCAAGGCTAGCTTGGGCTATACAGTGAGTTCAAGGCTGGCCTGGACTACATTGTGAGACCCTGACTCAAAACACCAACAAAAATAAAAATAAAAATACAATATGATCTAGCAATTTCTATTGGATTTAGAGCCAAAAGAATTAAAAGGAAGGTCTTGAAGAGATAGTCGTATAACCATGTTCATACAAGCATTATTCACAAGAGCTAAAACATGGGAGCAACCCAGGCATCCACGGATGGATGAATGGATAAACAAAATATGCTATATGGTTATACTGGAACATTGTTCAGCCCTAAAAAATGAAGGGGGTTCTGATCCATGCTGCGACATGGATAAGCCTTGGGAACATTATATTAAGTACAATAAGCCAGTCATGAAAAGACAGATACGGATTCTACTTACTTGAGGTAAAGACAGAAAATAGAATGGCAGTTACCAGGGGCTGGGGGGAAAGAAGGAGGGAGAGTTATTTAATGAGTACAGAGTTTCAGTTTCGCAGGACGTGGAGTGTTCTGGAGATTAGCTGGAAAACACTGTGACTATAATTGACATCTCTGAACTGTACACTTAAAAATAGGAAATGTAGTACAATTTTTGTGTATTTTACTAAAACTAAAAATAACAACAAAGTTTAATTAAAAGAAAAGAGCCACTGTCTCCTTGATTCACATCCCTGTCACTACTTCTTCGTTTTACAAACCAATGGGAAGGAAAAGTAGCCCATCATTTAATTAAACCTCAAAGACTTTCAAAGTCCAGAGATATTGGCACACCAAGCTTTTCTAATGCTTTAATTAACTCCATAATCCATTTGAATTCACATTCCCTCTGCCTGTTACTTAATTCGCCTAACGTTACTATCAACTTTTCAGTAATGATTAAAAATGTGCTACTTATTTATATTGGCACTTGACCTTAAAGAGCTGCAAATGGCGAAGTCAAAGCCACAGATTCGTCATGAAATAGACAACAGAGCCCTTTTTGGTGCTCTTAATGCTATTGTTTTTAATTTGCTTGATCCTGCCAGACTTCAAGGTTAATGAGAGCAGAAACTTGCCCTCTTCTTGTTTGTTTTTCCCCACGTGTAGATGCACAAGGAACTTCTGCTCACTGAGTGAATCCAGCACCTAGTTGTGCTCTGAAAGAGCCACATATGTTCTGCCAGAAATGTTTAAACAGTCCCCTCTTTGCAAACATGGCAGACATGCTGAGTTTAGTGATTAGGAAGAAAATAAGAGAAATTTCCAACTGAATTTCATGAAAAAGCACCACTTTTGAAAAGGAAAGAGAAATACACATTCTATAACAATTCTGTTTTAGCACCATTAACTACTGGTTTGATCGTACCTACAAAGCAAAACAAGACAAAACCCACAATTTAATTCAGGTTAGGTTGTATGTTTTCCATAAACCCCTGTCCACACATATAACCCCAGAACAGCAATCACGATATTTGGTTCAAATTGAAGTCCCTAAGGCTGAGTGCTCTGCTTCCTTCTAATTCTCCTCAAATAAGTCCCAAAGTCACCTTTACAATTTTAGTCCTATGGAACAACATCATTTTTCATAATTACAGAGTTTTAATTTCTGTTAGTGAGTGTGCAGCCTTTGATGTATTGAGCCAATTAAGTGAAACTTGGTTAAAAACCAACAGGAAAAAAAGGGAATTTGGGGCAGTAAGTAAAATAGAGAATTCAAAAAAGGAACTCAAAGTAGTGGCAGTTGTCACCCTCATCAAAAAGGGATTTTTTTCATTATGGACACAAAAGCAGGATCAGACCTGGGGACCTGGGTGGGTCCTGTTACTGCTAGTCTCCTTGAATCTTCCTCCTCCGGGTGTCTTCGGCGGCTTCTCCAGGGCAACGTGACAGAGTTCCTGAAACAGAGACCAACTCTTCAGTTCCACGTGGGTGGGAAATTCAAAGTGTGAAACAAACACACAAGGCGGGGCAGGGCTAGGAGGACACAAACCTTTGCTTTTGGTTAAACCTCGGAATAGCAAAAGGGTCACTTTACCTGGTTTCTCTCATATTCAGAAGGGTCACAGAAGGTGAAGGGGTGGATGCACTTTCTTTCACGCTTACACCAAGCACAGCCAGTTCCAGTGCATGCTGAGCATCTGGGAACATGGAAAACCAACTTAATCCCCACATGTTTAGGGAACAGTTCAGATCCTAGAATTTCTCTCTGTCATGCAGTGTGCAAGTACGTGCTGAAAAGAATTTAAAAAAAAAACAATCCCTGGCAGGCAGGGAAGAATGGGAGAGAGAAAACAGTGATTTGAGGCATGGAATAAGACTTGGAGTCCTGCTCTGGGGAGCCCTCGGGGTTGATGGATCAGCATCCCACCTGCAGGGGTGTTGCCATGGAAACCTGAAGCTGGGGTCACCTGCTGGTCTGTGGACAACACAAACTCACTGAATCTGTTTCTGAATCCAGTTCTGCTATTTGTCACCCTCAGGTAAGTGCCTGTGGGGACAGATCTCACTCTCCCCACTGCCACCTCCCTACCAGATCAGCCAGGTCTGACCACTGCAGCAGCTACGCTGCCAACTGCCTGGAAAATGGGAGACACAAAGTACTATCTGGCAGGCAGAGGAAATGAGGTTCTTGTGTTTGCTTAAGGAAGAATTGTGTCTACTGATCAAATAATCTATCATGCATGAGTAACCATGGAGGACTTGAAAAGCTTGCATCAGAATAGCTGCAGTTAAAGAAGAAATGATAAAAGAAAAATTGGGGTGGTAGAAGTGCGGCCAAGGGAGGCCAGAGGAAGGCTCAGTAGAGGTCAGCAAGGTCTATGAGTGCCAGGGAGGGGGACCCAGGCTGCATCTGATATATTCTCCTAGGGCTGCTGAAGCATCCTGAGATTCTGATCTCAAGAGACTGCAGTTTCCATGGGGAGAGGAAACAGACTCCCCTGGAGCGTGGAACAGATTTGTGATTTGTGCTTCTTCTGCCCCTCAGACAGGATTACTGTACCTAGTGCTTTGCTAACAGGAAGCTGTTCCCTTGGAGAGCGCTCGCCCTCTGGGGGAACCTGGGACTGAGGTCTGATCCTTAGTTCTGCAGCAGTGAGACCCAGGGCAAGACTTCCTTTCATCTGGCCTCTAAAACTGCAGCCCAGGGTAGCTTTTTTTTTTTAAACTCCCTTAGAGCTATAAAATTCTATTTACTGACCTCCCACCCCTCTTCCTATTTTCTGGACTTCTGAGGCTTTCTGTATTAAGATTTGTACTTTTCTTCCCTAATTCATTCTCTTTCTCAGAAATCACCGACCCCAGCCTGTGCTGTTCCCTTCAATGTGCCTCTGCGGTCCAGAGCAGCTCTCCAACTCAGTTCCAAGTCTGAATTCACTTTCTCCATAGAAACACTGGCTCCCAGGCCAGGTAGAAAGAAGATCATCACGTTTGGTGCTTACAGACTGGTCAATCATGGCAGGGTGAATTGCTAATAATACAGCTTCCGGTTGTTCCATGGGGCCCTCCATCCTGACCTCCAACGGGAAGGTCAGACTCTGAGAAGCATTTCCTGTCTTCTAGATGCTTTAGGACCCAGGACTGTGGTGTGGCCCTAATCTAGGGACTTTTACTCATAGGGGCTAAGAGTGGAAGTGAGAGAACAGAAGATTTGGATATGGCTCAGTGGTGGAGGCTTGTCTAGCAAGCATACAGCCCCTGGGTTCCATCCCTAGCAGTACAAAATTCAATCAATCAGTCAGTCAATCAAAGAGGGCAGAATGAGCATGTTCTTTTGGTGAAGGCGACTTCATCTTTTGCCCTGGAGTCTATTTTCTGACCCCCAGGATGAGGCCTCTTGGCTCTCGAAGCCACTCTGCTCCTGGGGGGAATCTAGCAGTCATATTTCCTGTTGACAGAGCACTGGGGGACACATTCTCTCCCTGGTGGCTCCAAGTCACATGTTATTAGCCCAGTGTCTCTCTCTGCTCTTGTAAGGCCATGCTCCAAAAGGCACCTTGGCTAAGTTCTACTCCACAAAAGAGTTCTTTAGGAAATTGAAGAGTAAGGCAAATAAATTAAAACCAAGGAGAGAATATTTAAATTTCAAATAAAACCTTACTCTCTTAATGATGAGCAGTTGGTAAAGTTGAATCTTTCTGATAAATTTAAAAAACCGAAGGAGAACGTCACGTTGACAAGTAAGACATCTGGAAGAGAGAAAGAGGGCAAAGTCATTGATGGCGGATTCCTGCTACAGCCGAGTGTAGCAGTAAAGGCACAAAGAAAATAAATAAATATTTTCGCTGTTCCTGCATACAGGGCACGGGTGTGCCAGCTGTTCGCCAACATTTCAGTCAGTATGCGGTTCCTTCCCCACGGGCATGCTCGCCAGGCAGCCACAGAGCAGCGTGCAGGTCTCCAAACAGACTGAGCCCAACTCTAGCTGCAAGGCTCCCTCGAATAATCACCAGGAAAAGCCATTTTACAGCCCATTTACATCTCATACTCTCCCTGGGATCACTATCTCAGCTTGTAATTGGCTAAGACATAAGAATAAAAAAAGCTACCAAGCAAGAAGTGCCTAGGATATGAAAACCAGCATGCTAGAACGGAAATCCTGCACCTTTGGAAGAATCCACACTTTGCACATATTTACCTAACAAACTACTGTGTGGCTCCTTGGGGTGGAGATCCATTCTCGGAGTCGGTTGTTGTCAAATCCATGACAAAGGTTTTCTGATTTGTTTTGGAAAAACCTAGCCATTGGTTAGAGACCCCCAAAGAATAAAATGAGGATGAAAACTGCTAAATGCCAAATCAGCACCAGAAAAATACAGTGTTTCCCGTATCTCCTTAAACATTGATACTCTACCGGATGTAGTGATTTCCCAGATGCCTATCAGAACCACTTGAGAAACATATGAAAATATAGATTCCAGGGCCATGCTGCTACATGTTTGACTGAGCAGGCCTGGGGGCATGGTCCGGGATCTGTGGGTTGCAGTGCTCCCTACATAACAATTGTACAGAGCCCGGTTCTGGTGCTGTCACCCACAGCAGCGTCTTTCAAATCCTGTGTGTCCAAGGACCAGTGTTAAGGAAGAAGTATTAATATTTTTTCTTCTTATGAATTAATGGGGACCACAGATGGTAATTTTCAAATCAAAGTCTTGACAAAATAATAAGTTGGCCTGATTCTGTTGGTGCTATTTTCTCTCTCTCTCTCTTTCTTTTCCTTCTTTCCTCCTTCCATCTTTCTTTTCCTTCCTTTCTTCTTTCTTTCCTTCTTTCTTGTGGTATCAAATTTGAATCCAGAGCCTTCGCACTAGGCTATCCCCAGCCCTTAAAAACATTTTTTTTTTTTTTTCATACCGGGGATCGAACTCGGGCCCTTGCGCTTGTGCAGCAGGCGGCGAAACCACTGAGCTAAATCCCGGGGCCTTAAAAAAATATTTTTGAGACAGGATCTCATTGGTCACTAAATTGCCCAGGCTGAGCTCAAATTAACAATCCTCAGACTCCCAGAGTGCTGGGATTACAGGCATGCACCACCATGCCCATCCTCTCCTAATTTTCTTACTGAAATGTTATTGGTGTGTGGTTTTCAAAATCTAAGAACTCTATCAGGTGATTCTGTACAGCAATAAGATTCACTGTAATGGCCAGAATGCCACATAGCATTCTGCTCACAGAAAGTGGGCTTCTGTGAAACTATAATCTTTTGTTCTATAGACAAGGAAGTTTGGAGGTCCGACCTGACTGACCTTTTACTGGGAGCATCTGAACAGACCCCTGATGAATGCTAGTGGAACATGCATAGGGACACCAAGCATGGAGAGACCCCCAGAGAAAATGCATTCCTACACAATCAAAAACTGTCTAGTGACGACAATTGTGGAAGTCACACTTTGCTGATTCAACAGCTATGCACAGAACAGTGGAAATATCACAAGGAAATGAACATTTGTGACCTCTGCTGTGGAACCATTTAGAGTTATTCTGGAAGAGGTAAAAAAGACAGCGATGGTGGCACAGTCGAGGAAATGCTATGTGCTTGATTCTCATTTTATGTGGTCCCTGAGAACCAAGAATAGGGTGTCTGTGGTGGACCAAGGGGCGCCAGGATGATCCAGGCAGAGCAGAGTCTGCCAAGGCTGCATGGAAGAGGTGGCTTTACCCCACTTTTTCAAAGCAGAGGGAAAACAGGACTTGGTGAAAGAAGGGAGGCTGCTAAGAGAAGGCCCTGGACAAAGTTTTGGCAATGGCCTCAGACTGGCTGCACACAGGCAGTAGGAAGGGCTTCTGTTCGCCTGCCTAAGGATAGACAAGGTACTCGGAGAGGGCAGGTGAAAGATGAGTACAACTGATGGAGGCTCTAAAAACAGCTTCACAAGTCAATCTCAAATGCTTTAGAAGCATTTGCTGTGGGGGAGCAAGGTCTGCATTTTAAGGACCAAAGTTAACCAGAGATGCATCACAAAGGCGCCATAGGGAGAACAAAGTGGAAAACCCCCGAGCGATTTTCCAAGGAATTCATGCCCACCTGGCCACCAGGAGCCCAGCGACTGAGAGTCATTTGCATGCTGAGGACTCTGATCTGGTACATTCAATTCTCTTTAGAGGAGTAAAGAATCAAGTGAACGTAAAAGCTGTTGTCTCCTCAAAATTCGTATGCTGGGACCTAAATCTCAGTGTGAGCTTTACGAGGTGGGGCCTTTGGAGATTACATCCTGAGGACTCAATCCTCATGAACGGGACTAGTGCTCTCATAGATCACAGCTTCAGGATGGAGTCCTAGGGTCACAAGGCCCTCTGTGGTCCCTTGGCTGATGTCTTTGTAATTCATTTTCCACCTGCCCCTCCTCTGTTGCCTTTTCCATCTAGAACCTCTTCTGGTTCTTCCAACAAAGCTTTTTTCTCTCCTTGCCATCACACAAGTTAGTCTCTGCCTGGAATATGCTTCCCTCTTGTCTTTGTCTGGCTCGGATCTGCTCATCCTTCAGTCTTATTTGGACCAATACCACTTCCTCCTTACCCACCCTCATGTCAGCCTGGTGCCTTTTCTATGTGCTTCCCAGTACTCTAAGTTCCCTGCATTTACACACTGCATTGTAACAAGCTTCTTATTTATCTCCACCCTGGGAGGTTATAAATACTCCTGGCAAGGGCCAGTTCCACCTTTGTTGTCTCTGTATCCCCAACACCTAGCATGCAGTACATACTTCCTGTATGAATGAATGAATGGATGGATGGGCTGAAGCTGATAGAACACTGGGTCAGATCTCTGAATTGTCCGAGCCAATTTGGGTAGAGTTGGCTCGATGGTGTCTGGCTTTACTGCACTCTCCTAGCCAAGCAACCTCCTCTGTCACTCTCCAGGCTCATGTGACAGTGGGTCTGAGAGCCACAAATGAGGTGGTGGTGAGGTGAAGCCCCAGGTGATACCCAGTGGGCGGAGAGAGTGAGGATGGCAGAGGAACAAGGCAGATTCCCTGTTATTTAACTTGCTTCCTCGGGCAATCTGAACGCAGCAAGTTGTCTTGCTTTCCTGACTGTAATGAAATGTGAAGAGTCCACACACCTCGGTAGCTTGGCCTGGTGAGGAGGATACAGGTGCAGGCCTGGTTTTCCTGACTTCTCTCCTGGCAGAGCACCTTGCTGGTGTCCATGTTCTTCACCACGCACTCTGAGCGCCTTGAAGAGAAGGGTCCCACCACGGTCACAGTGGTCTGTGAGGGGAGAGGACACCAAACAAATGACTGCTACACCATTGCCGTTCAGCCTGCAGGCTTAAGCGACTCACCTTTGACACGCCATATAGGAAGACAGCTTCTCAGAAGAAGTGAAGCGAACAAATGGATGTTTCATTGGCTATTACATTTGCTCTTCTGTGAATCACATAGTCCTACTCTTGGACTGTATTTTTGCTGTGCATTTTTCTTATCAATTTTAAGAGCTCTCTGCACAGTGTAGATAGTAATCCTTATCTGTCATATTTCTGACATATATTTTCGCCTAATCTACTGTTTGTCTTATAACTTTCCTTGTGGAAGCTCTTGCCCTTATACAGTGTGTTTTATGTAATCAAATTTAGGTTTTCTTGTCTTGGCTATAAAGTACTTCCAAATCTCCAGCTTATAGACAAGTAGAAAACTGTTCTAATTGTTTTTTTAAGCTTATATGTCTTTAATCCATCTGGAATTTATTTCTATATATATTGTGAAATGAGAGTCCAATTTTATTTTCACCAGATGGTTAATCAGATATATCGTAACCATTTACTTAAAAAAAGAAAAAATTCCCAACAACTCATTTCTCACTAACTGCAATAATTACTTTTGCCATATATGAAATTACCATATATTTGGAATCCATTTCTAAACTGCTCTGTTCCAAAAATCTATTGATTTACTTCTATTCCAGTAACATCAAGTTTTTACTACTGTGGCTTTAAATATATTTAACATCTGATAGGGAAAACCCCTCCTTATTTATCTTTATTTTCATAATTTTCTTAAGATTTCCTAGACATTAGTCAACCATATGAGCTTTAAAATCATTTTATCCAAAGGGGATGTGGAGACTGTGAGTCTAACTGGAATTATACTATGTGTTTGCATTCATTTTATAACGATTTATGTTCTTGTAATATTAGGTATTCTCATCCAAACACATGATTTTATTTCCACTTGTTTCTCTTTGATCCAGGGTTCATTTCAGAGGGTGTGTGCCTTTATCTCTCACATGTTAAGATACATCTATCATCTCTCTATCATTTATTGTGAATGTTATTAGATAATAAAGAAGGTAGTGTGACTCTATTTTTAAAATTAGTTCGTGGTCAAATTTCATGTGTGGGGAGTATGCGTGTGTGCATGTACATGCTGCAGCACACGTGTGTGCCATGCAAGTGTGAATGTGTACCTGGGACACAAAGAGAAAAATCTTTTTTTTTTTTTTTTTGCTGGTACTGGGGATCGAACTCAGGACCTTGTGCCTGCAAGGCACGGGCGGCACCCCGGAGCTAAGTCCCCGGCCCTACAAAGAGAAAATCTTGAAAGTTCAAAGTCATAAAGCAAATTTTCTTAAATGAATTATTTAAAAGGACAAAGTAGTCAGTTCTCCGGTTGAGAAGGAAGACTAAAGTGATTAATATGCCAGCCGTGGAGGCATCTGGTGTCAGGTGCAGGAAGGGGACCTGGGGGGAAGGTGGCCAAGGATGAGCAAACTCAGCTTGCAAGAAGAGGTAACCCTGTCACCTGTGGTCTACAACCTGGGAAGTGTCTCCCTTTTGTTATACTTCTGACCTCTGCCTCGACTTTCTGCACTGCCACCTAAGCTTCTGCTGAGTCCCTGGCCTTCTAATAAGCTTTCGGAGTCTATTCTAGTCCTAGGGCTCACTCCCATCTTTCTCTTTTTAAAAATTTCTGTTTCTGGGCCATAGAACCACACAGGCAGAGGCAAATTCTTTCAGCACATCAGCCAGGCTGAAGTCTCCAGGGACGTAAACACGGGAACAAACCCCACACCACTCCCGCCAGCCCATCTTCAACAGGCAGCTGAGCTCTGGTTCATGTTAACATCTTCATCACATTTTAGCCCGGGACCACATACTATCTCATTTACATCTATGTCTTAAACTGAATCCCTTCCCTAGACGTTGTAACCAGGGTATCAGAAAATTCTCTAAAATCTTATTTTCACCAACCCTTAATTTTTTCTCATTTCCTTCTCACACAGTTTTCACATAACTGTAATCATTCTGTTTAAGTATTCCATAAATAATTAACAGGCTCCTAAACAGGCCAAGTGCTACACAAAGAATTCAATAATCAGAGAATCAAATAATACAGGTTTTAAAAAAATAACAAGACAGGTTTTGCCCTCGGAGAGCTTACAGACTAGGAGAAGAATAACCAGCCCAGTCGCTCAGAACTGGAGGGCCATGTGGCACCAAGAGACTGTCAGGAGATGACAGACACCTGAGCTAGGTCAGTGAAGTCAAAATGGAAAGAACTGGATGGATCCACTGGACCCACTGGAAGGAGCATGGGCAAGACTGGAAGTGGGGATGTGGATAGGGAGGATTCTGGTGAGCAAGCAAATGCATGCATGAACCAAACGTATCATATTCTGAGATGGGACATGTGGAGGGAGATGCAGACTTTCAGTGGAAGATCAAGGTTTCAATTCTGGGTGCATTTAGTTCTAGATACTTGTGTGATCACCAAGAAGATATGCCAAGGTGGACATGGGCCTGCAGCTCAGAGTGACAATGTGGGCTGGAGGCAAGGAGCTATAAACACACCGATGATGTATAAGGTCACAGGAGTGGATAGTTTGACTACGGACAAAGTACACAGGAAGAGTCAAAAGTGGACCATTGTTTAGAGTCAAGGAGATACGAGGAGGAGGATAGCATGGAGAGGATGTGTCATGGCGGGCAATGGAAGAGCAGGTCTAAGAGTGCTGCCAATCAACCAAGTGAGAGGGGAACTTCTCAGTGTCTGCTGGAAGAGCTACGTGGAGTTCACCAGAGACCTTAGCAAGGATGGGTTCAGGGGGCAGTGGGGCACAAGTTGGCTGCAATTGATCTGAATTTAGGAGACAGCATATTTTTTTCAGGTTCAGGGGAAAGAGAGAGGAGTCATGGAGTTGGAGGTGTTTGGGGCATGACTTTGGGTTTCAGGTGAGTATGTTTAAAAGCTGGGGCTTTGGCTTAATAAAGCCAATATGAAATCCTTACCAAGTTCACAGCTCACAGAGAGAGAGAGAGAGAGAGAGAGAGAGACAGAGAGAGAGACTGGAGGTTGAACCCAGGGGCTATTGAGGTACCATTGAGCCTCTTCCCAACCTTTTTTGTTTGCTTTTTTGTTTTTAATTTTGAGACTGAGTCTCATGGAGTTGCCCAGGTTGGCCTTGAACTTGTGATCTCCTGCCTCAGCCTCTTGAGTAATGGGGATTACAGGCGTGTGTCACACACGCAGGTTGATGGCTTTTTCTTGAAATAAATTGGATAAAGACAGAGTGAAGACTCAAAGGGTCAGTGGGAATGGGAAACTGTTGGGAGTATCAATTAGCTGGCAATCACGATGGGTCCACAGAACCTCTTGCTATCTTTAACAATGTCAAGTTGACCTGTGAGCACCATATTTGATTTAACCATTCTCCTTCACCCCAAACAGGTTGGTTATCTCCAGGTTTAACTGCTATTGCAATATATCTTCATGCTTAGGGCTTTTTCTTCATTTGAATTACTTCCTCAGGGTTCTATGCTTGGAATTAGAGCTTCAAAAAGAATGAATATATTTATGACTTTTGAAATGTACTGCCAAATTGCTTTCCAAAAAAGTTGTGCTAATTGGCATCACCAATACTGCATGTTAACATAACTTATTATTGCTTTAATTTGTATTTATTTCATAACTAGTGAGGTTGAACATATTTCCATATTTATATTTACTTTCTTGAATCTCCCCTTGTGGAAATATATGCCTTTGCCCATTTACTTTTTGGTATCTTGATTTTTTCTCAGCTTTATTATCTGGTAATTAATATTCTGTCTGGCAATTAATATTCCTTTTTCCTGGAGTGTGTGCTTTAGTTAACTCCTAGTTTTCCCTATGCAGTTTTTAAACATTGGAAATCAAGTATATAAGTATTTTTCTTTTGTTATTAGATATTATGTTACTTCAGAGTAAAGAAAATTACCATATTTTAAAATTATCTGATGTTCAATTCTATTCTGTGAGTTATCTTTTTGTACATATTCTTTAATTGGCCTAAATTTTATTTATTTATTTATTTATTTATAGTACCGGGGATTGAACTTGCGCTTGCGTGGCAGGCGCCTGAACCACTGAGCTAAATCCCCTAAATTTTATTTTTTTAATGTAAAACATAAATTACACTACATTTCTATAGTGTAAGCCATAAAATAATTCTTTTGTTTCCCCTTATTTTATAATATCTAATCTTAAATATTTTCACATTTATTTCTGAGCTTATTCTATGAGTCTATATCACTATTTTCAAATCAGAAAATGGAATGAACTACTATTGATATACACATCAATTATAGATGTGGTATATTATAGATATACATTATATATGTTCACAATCTAATGAGAGTGATTTTGCCTAAATAAACTTCTTGTTTTACAAACTATATCTTGGATACTCTCTATTAGTTTATATCATTCCAGATGAATGTTACATTAATTTTTTTTTGGTACTGGGGATTGAACTTAGGTCCTTGCACTTGCGCAGCAGGCAGCAAAACCACTGAGCTAAATCCCCAGCCCTGTTACATTAATTTTAAGAAAATGCCTACTCAAATTTCACTGGGATTACACAAAATCTAGAAAAATAAGGTGGGGAAAAGTGATACTCTTATGATATCTTTCCATTAAGAAATATGGTATATATCTGGATATATTCAACATGTTTTTAAAATCTTCTGAGAAAACACCCCCTATATTTATGTCTTTATTTTTATTTATGCTTATGTTTTCAATTGATAAGTTTCCACTATAATGAATTATAAAGAGCCTCAACAATCTACTATTTTGCTGATTTTTATCAGACATAATGGCTTCAGATAAGCTGCTGCAAAGCTCAAAATCACTATTTTGGGGTCTCTAATACATGTCTCCTAGTAAGAATGATTTTAAAATATAAGGTGCATACAATACTCTTTAACTTTGTGTCTGAATATTTATTTCTGTTGTTTTCATGAGTCGGATTTTCTATGAATTGAAGTTAAAAGTTGTTTTATCTAACATGTAATATGACTATTGATATTTGAATATTCTTTGAACATTCAGCATTCATTTAAATTGATTCATTTGAATAGTTTTGTTCTTATGTTTTCATTTTTGTAGTATTGGGGGGATTGAATGTTAAGCATGTGCTCTACCACTGAGCTACACCCCCACTCCTAGAATAGTTTTAAAGCTAATATGTTAGATATACAGATATGCAACCACTTAAGATTAGCAAATAATATTTTTCTGTATTTCATTCCAGTAATTATCTGTATACTTGTGTATTGCCCTGGATAGAATTTAAAAACAATGTTGAAAGTGTTGGTGATGGTGGAATATCTTGTTCTAATTCTGATGTGCAAAAGAATATTCCTTGTGCTCTCCTTTAGGAACCATGTTGTTTTAAGAGAAATACTTATATTCGTATGTCTTCTATATTTTTCGTAGCATAAACCATTTTTACTCAATGTTAAAATATCTGTATAGTTATACACACCTATATAAGGCAGGAATGGGATCGTGTCATACACCCTTTTTTGTGTTTGTCTATGTAGGTGAGGCTTTCATTTGTCTCTTTTTGTGCTTGGTGCTGCCTTATGTTCCCATCGCCTCAGACAGGTGGAGCAGGGGAGGCCATGCTTGCAATTGCATCTGAATTCGTCCATACAGTTCTCCATGCTCCAATGAATAAATATAAATAAATGGTTAAAATGCCTATATAGTCTATTATATAGGCATTTTTATCAATAGTAGATCATGGTATGCATACTTTTCTGCACCTTGTCATCTTTACTCAACTAAACCTCAGAGACATTCTTCCTAGACTGATTTGAATTGCTCTCCTTCTTTTGAATGTGAATCCCATAGTGAGAATGGGGTATACAGTTTTCAAATTGTTTTACATATAGAAACAAAGCTTCTGGTGAACAGAGCTCTGCGTTATATGGAGGTTTTCGTGTACCTACAAAGGTACTAGAATGCTACTTGGCTTATGATGGGTAGTTCCCCATCTCTGCCTGCCAGGGATCTGACACTTTCAGCAAGTCACAGATGGCCATAAAGGAAGGAAATATTTTGAAAAAATATGATAAATGATGGAGTCACACATCTTATCAACGCTATTAAAAGAATCAGTCTAGGGTTGGGGTTGTAGCTCAGTGGTAGAGCACTCGCCTACCACGTGTGAGACTCTGGGTTCCATCCCCAGCACTGCCAAAAGAAAAAAAATTAGTTCAAAGTTTGTTACAAAGAATACCTTTAGTCAAATTACTACATTCACTTTCAGGGCAGTGGTGAACTGGTGGGATGATGACTATGTGGGAAGACTATGAGAATTAGCAAAAGCCATTGCATTGCTTGGGGTGGGGAAGAAAGCACTTATACTTGTTTGGGTGGTAAGTGGTTTCCAGACTAGATATCAATGGTAATTAATTTACACTAGTGAGGCCATACATAGGTGACCAGATTACATAAGCAGCACTTACAAGGTACTTCCTCCCACTACCACTGAGCTAAAGTATTGCCCATAATTTTTTTTTTAATGACAATGGAAAAAAAATCTTGGATAATCTTAACCACTCATCAGACTCCTGAGAATATTCAAGGATCATGGTACTTTTCTATTATTCTTCATTAATACCAAAGTCAGCTATTTCTCAGACTAATTAGAGAAATAAAAATTTGGCCATGCCTATACATGCATTCCTGAGCATCTTTTACATCAAATCTATTCCCTCCAACTCAGTGCTGGCAGAGGTTGGCTTGAAGACTTTGGAATCCCCCCAGCCCCAACAGCAGGAAGACAACAGAAAGTGACAACAACTAAGTAACTTTAAATCCATGAGTTCTGATCAGTTATGACTTGAATGCTTGACTCTTTTATTATTTATCACTCATTAAATGTTCTGGCTCTTCTTTATTAAATGTTAAATCATCTTAAGTGGTATGGTTCGTGCTGTTTGAAATGGCAAAGTGTAAGAGAAAAGGGAAAGTGGGCCATTTCCTTGTTAATGTGGCATTCAAATAAAACACAGAGAGCTTAACAGGCAGGTCAACTGGCTGCCAATGGGGATGCTGGACAATTATTCATAACACAAGAGCCATAATTAGGGAGGGAAAGTCTTCTTACAGGACTGAGATTGCCAGGGAGGAATTCCATTCTCCTACAGGGCAGAGTTGCTATGAACATCAGAAAATACCCGAACATGCTTGTTGCTTCCTTCTGTTATGCAATGCCCAGAGCCCCGTGGCTTGCCTAGGGATGCCACTGACAATAGTCCCTGCCCACATCGGTCACCCCTCCACCTCTACCAACACTGCTGGCAACCAAGAGTGCTCACAGGGCTGTTGTTAAGAGAAGCCCGAACACATTGGGAAAAGGAAGCACGAATCCAGCTACATTTAAGGAATCTTGTTGACCAGAAGCCTGCACTTACTTTTCTCTATTTTTAAAATCAAGATGTAGTTTTGCTATGTTTGTTTAAATGAAAATATTGAGGATTATCTTTGGCTCCTCAAGATGACAAACTCCAGGCAGGCAGGTCCATGGTGTGACTTGGTGCAGTGCCTTACAGAGTGGATGGTATCTGCCAAGTACTCACCATTCATTAATGAAACAAACAGACTCCTATACATAAGCTTATTCCATTGCTGAGTGATATTTTACACATAGAAGGAGGTTGGCATCAGTTGTGCAACACCAAGGAGACGAATTAAAATCTTTCCTCTTACCTTATCTCTGCTGCTTCGAGTTATCTGAATTTTAGGGCACTCTTTAGCTCCAGATGAAATATCCAGCCAGTTTTCAAAGTGCTTTGACTCTACACAATCTTCTTTAAAAGTACACCTAAAAAAAAAAAGGTAAAACCAAACAGCAACTCTACACATACGTTAGCTATGACTTTCTCAAACTTGGCTTCAGTACAAAATGCTTTGTACAGTGGATTATTGATTTTGAACAAGAATAGGAACATGATGCTAAAAACATGAAAAGCAACAAGAAAACAGCAGATTTTTTCCCCATCATGTCTAGGAACGGAGAACAAATGTCGACAACGTGTTGAACTTGGACTCCTGAGCCATCTCTCAAGATGATATCCCCAAATACATCCAAAACACGTCTTCTTGTGAATTCTAAAGTCAAGAGTGCCCTTGAAGAAATGCCTATCAAAGAACAGCCCAAGAAAGCATTCACACATTGTATAAATTTTAGGTTTGCAATTCATTCCCAGAATATCAGCCTACGGTGTAATTTGTTTTGTGTTAAAAAATAATAATAAAGCTACTATTTTGTGTTTTGCAGTATCGTGATTACATAAAAACATGGCAAACATTTCAAGGGCAAAGTCTGCCTGAGAATTTGATAAGATTATTTCATAACCATCTGCTCCAGAACATTTATTTAGTCAGACATGAACTTTTATCAAAAGATACGCAGGAAACATTTTCAGGGCCACTATCCCAGGGCAGCCAGCTGGGAGGATGCCCCAGAGAAGTCTTCAATTGTGTCCAGGGCGAATGACTTTGATAAACATGTGCCCGGAAGCTGAGAAGTGAGGTCACTGGCTTGCTTGCTGTGTCGGTCACTGTGGGTCACATCAACAAGGGAACCCTTGTCTCATCAGATGGGCCACCAACCCAACAAGAAAAATGGACACCAGTGCCACGTTATCGTCCAAGGGCCCAGCACTCTGTGGACACTCTGCTGAAGAAACACCTCTGTTTCAAGGACAGAAGAAAACATCTCTGACATCTTCTCCTCTCCAAAACTGAAGGTTAAAATGAAGGGGTGGTGAGCTATTGCCAGCAGGTTTATTTATTTTATAAACACATGAATCATGAGCTTGAAAAGTAACCAAATGTTGACCGCATTCAGCTGCGGGAAGTCCCTGAGGGGACCCAAGTGGAGGGAGGTATGGACGGTGACTTAGGGTATTTGACTAGTGTGTTGACACAATAGTGTATTTGACTTCAAAAAGATTTTATTTCTTCTCCTTCCTTTTCTCTCTCTGTCTTTAATTCTTAAGAATTGAGGCATGTGGCTTTGGCTTTGAGCTCTGTGCTAATATAATACAGCAAATATAGAACAGGAAGTCGGTGAGTTTCACTAAGCATCATCCCCAACATGAGGAGAGCTTAGCATGTCACTCATTGGGGGAACCCCACTCCCAGTGAGCACATTTGTGCCCCTTCCCCCCACATACCCAAATCGTGACCAAAGGGATTTTCATTAGCAGTTCTCCAAAGCCATAACTTTATCTGACCCTTGATACTTCACTCGTCCGTCATGGACATTAAGTTCAAATTAAACCACCTTTCAATGTCAGGGAGAGTTTGCAACAGAGGAACAAGAACAGCTGCATTCAAACGCTGAGAAAATGACTAGGCTGGTTCCTTCTTTGTACCTGAAACAGATCATGACTGTCAAAAACTCCCTGCCTCTCCTGGGTACTCTGGGTTTGTATAAGGCACTTCCTCTGCCTCTAAGAAAAAAAAAATGTAAGCCAATTCTAGAGAGACTGGAGTACAAATGTTTTTGTAGGCTCTTAATGCTGCCTGGGAGTCAAGGCCTAAGGCTGCCAAAAAAACAAGTGTAAGATATTTCATACAAACAGAACTACGATTTGCCAATTTGTGGGCAGAAAGCAGTAGTGCCACTGAGTTATCACTCTCTTTTCTGAATTCCTATAGCATTTCTTGTCGGAGCCACAGATTTTGCTGTTTAATCATATGCTGCCTTGAATTACAACTTAACTGTTTCATATGTCTATGTCATTTCTCCCCAAGAAAGCGCTAAGCTCCTCAAAGGGAAAACATCTTTAATATTTCTTTAGCAAATCCCTATGTCTCTCAGCATGATATGCTAATCTAAGGTTTCAATAAATATTTTTGAATGAATGCATGAAATATGAAATCTCTATAGGTCCTTTCCACTGGTGATTTTTCTTTCTAGAGTTTTGATTTATGCCTGACTCTTCCTTATGGCAAAGCCACTATTTTTAACATAAGTTAAAAGTTTGAATCAGGATCAAATTGGGAGTTGAGGTTGGTTTATTTTTGAAAAAAATGAATCTTTCATTTTGTATTCTACATAGGGAAATAACAAAAATCCAACCATGATAACCACCTAAACATAAATTCCTTGTTTGGATATTAAAAAAAAAAAAAGCTGCCTTTGAAATTTCTAAATTTCCAGTCCTTGCCTCTCAGGAGTAGAAAATAAATTAAAAAATAAAAAGCAAACTGTCACACCAAGAATGTATAACCAGATGGTCAACCAACAACAGTATCTTATTATTTCTCAAATATTGCAGATTGTAAAATCTTATGACAGCACGTTACCCACACATTCAAATTCTTTAAGGGGGGGGGAGCAGATCTTATAGCTCCCACGTTTTAGTAAACAAAACCAGATACTTTGAAATAATTCCTTTTGAAAGCTATCACTCTTTGATTGTGTGTATCAGCAAGAGCCATCCAGTGCATAAACACTTCAGCCACCACACAAATGACCTGAAAATCTCCTTTTCTGCCACACCTCTTGGTGAGGCTGAGCCCGGAGGGAGTCGCTCTCAGAGGTGCTATTGCTTAATTGGCTTCCTTTCAATGTCCTCAGGCCACAGACAGGAGGGAAACTGGATGCAGAGCAGCAAGGATGTACTCTGGAGAAAATGGCAGAGGTATATTTGTTTTCTTTGCTTTTGCTATTACTTTTGCCTCCTCCTCCTCTGAGGATCCTTCTTAGTCCATTTTGTGTCACAGTTCCCAAGTCCCTGAGACTCTATAATTTATAAAGAACAGAGATTGGTGTTGTACAGTTCTGGAGGCTAGGAAGTCCACAGTCGAGGGGTCTGTACCTGGCAAGGGTCTTCATACTACATCAGCTCATGGTGGATGGTAGACAGCAAGAGAGGGCAAAAGGTGGGCATCAAGTGCCCAGACTCAAGCCCCTTTCTCACCAGAGCTAAGTCTTTCACAAGGATGGAGCCCCACCACCTGAGCTCCTCCCCTTTGACCCTGCCTCTAACACTCTGGCATTGGGGACCACGATTCCAACACATGTTTTGTGGGGAACACATTCAAACCACAGTAGGGTCCATCTGAGTCTGAAGATCTCCCTCAATATCTAATTTTCTAGTTCCAGTTAGACATCGTGCTCGCATGAAAAGACAATAAGTAGACACAAGCCTATTTACAAATTTAAAAATAGAATCTGCCCAAATACAAAGAAGGGATTGGTTGAAGTAAAACAAAAATGAAGCAAAATAAAAGCCTCAAACCAAAAAGTTAAAGAAAAAAAGAACAAAAGTTTTCCATAGGTGAAAAACACTATATGTGGAAACAAGTGACTGAAACTATTTAAGGAGTTCTGTTCTTTTTAGATTGCTGTAGAACTTAATTTATTCCAAATAATTCAATAAAATAGTTTGATATTGTCACTTAACTATATAAGGACATGGACCACCCCAATTGCCAATTCAGATAAAAAGTATGTTCCAAATCTATCCAGGCCCCATCTGGTTAACAGGAAGGTTCCAGACGATTGTTTCTAAGGTTGCTGTTCGAAATTCAGAAAGTATTTTCATACAGTGAGCTTGCTTCTTGATTATGTGGGAATTGGTACAGCCCATGACATCTCTAAATAACTACCCCCGCCAAACAAGGACACGGAGGGGGCATTTACTTGGTGCCAGGCACTGTTGTGAGTGTTGACAGTTCTCACAAGCTCACTGTATAGCGATGAGCCAGAGGTTCAGAGATGCACAGTAACACGCCCAAAGTCACACAGCTGCCGAGTAGCAGAAGTCTGACTTCAGAGCCACATTCTTGGCCACTCAGCTACGTGGCTTCCGACTGACCCCAACTGTCATAGACCCTGTTTTCTGATCAAAAGGCTACCATCCCTGTCCTGGCCCCCTGGGGGCTCAACAGTCTTTGGAGGGTGGGGTTGGGACAGGAGAGGACAGGGATGGCAGCCCCTTGGTCAGAAAACAGAGGTGAGGCAGGGTCTCTAGAATGAAGAGGGTAGCAGGGGTCTGAGAGGCCAACGCAGAGGTGGGGACTCCGAGAGGCTTTGAGTTCTCATCGGTCAATAGTGAATACAAACATCCAGCTACAGGTTAAAATTCCAGGCTGCCCCGGACTTATAAATCTACTGTGCTAAAAAAAACGAAAAAAAGCTTGCAAACCGTCTGTAATATGGAATATATTTCCCCCCACAAAAATAATGTTATAGGCAAAAATGAGGCTTCCAGCTTAGACCACAAAACCTATTTATCCATAATGTAACTTCAATGCTATATGTCTGCAATAAAAGAGTAGCAGAAAACTACAAGGTTGAAGCCATTTGCATTATATAGCAGTTTTTTCTTCCTCGTTACTTATTTGTGTTTCTGCTCAGCTGGTAGTCTGGGAATAGAGCCCAGCTGAATCAACTTTTAAATTTATTATTACAGTATTGTATTTATACAGCATTTCTATTTTTTTAATGGCCATGGTTTAAATTATTAATTGTTTTCATGCCAACCTAAAGGACAGGGAGAGTCGTTTCTGAGAGGGGGCTGAAGGTGCCAGACAGGTGAAATAAATGCCCACAGGCTGGGCTGGGGGGACCTTCGGAATCTGACTCTATTAGGCTAAAATCTCTCAGTAAAAATTTACCACTTACTCAACCTTGAAATAGAAGCTCTGAGCTCAAAAATGTAACTTCTACTTCCCGCCACTTGAATTTCATCAGCACCCTCTAATCTAATTGTTCACGAAGAGCAGACAGTCCCTGAAGGAATCTGATAACTAAATATCAGGTAATTGGCTTGAATGTGGGGTGAGTGTGACCTGTTTCAAAGA